CCTTTGCCCGTTTTTCATCACATTTGCGGCGCCTGCGGCCGCCATCATCCAGTCCAGGTTCCTGGTGCCGGTGGACGGCGGTGGTCTCCTCCACCTGGGCTGCGCGCAGCCTGGTCGGCCCCGGTGCTGGAAGCCCGTGGCACCCGCGTGACGCCCCGCCAGGTGCAGCTGACACGTTTTCCGGGCTGCCAGGTGACCGGCTACGCTCCTCGAGCGACTGCAAGTATCATTGTCTGCGCGCCCATCTGCGGGAGCCGCCCTACGTCCTTCAGCCACCGCATTCTCTCAGCTGCTGCCGCATTAGCCATGGTGATTGACGCGCGAAGCACCTGGCCACATCCCACCAAATGGCAAGAGACCAAGCGCATTACTGCACGCGAGAACCTGCCAAGTGCAGTGCCTCGCATCCGCTGCACCACCGCGCAACGCGCTGCTCCACAGCGCAACGCGCTGCTCCACAGCGCAGCGCGCTGCTCCATGCCAAGCGGCAATCCGCAATCCTTGCAGGCGGCCATGTTGGGCAGCTAGAGGCGGATGTTGGGTCTGAGCAAGGTCTAAATGGCTGCAACAAAATGGCGTGTATTGAACGTGTGACACATGTCAAAGCATGGCTGCAGAATCACGGAAATCGGCATGCAAAGGGGCAACTGCTGACAACATGCTTCATAACCCGAGCCAGCCGATTTTTTTCAAAAGAGGCCCCAAGCACCCCTGCATCCCAAACTTGTTCCGACGTCATGTTTCGCTGTGCTCACCATCACTGTATACCCTGCCCTCCACAAGACTTCTGCTGAGCATCTTGCAGAGCTTACAATGATCTACAATGACCTTTGGAATAAGCTATGAAACATGATACCCAACATAAACGAATTTTTTGTATCCATTTCATATGTGCTGTGCACCCAGCCTTTCCCAGGACTCTTTTTGGGTCTTTAGCAGGGTTTGTGACAGGTGATGGACACATTGACTGTGTGATGCCTCCGGCTGTGTGCCCCGAAGCGCCGCTCTCCCAATGCTGTAAATTATCATGCTAGATATTTCCCGCTCCACGAAAATGAGCCCCAAATCCCCAAGCAACCTCAAATCTTACGTCCTTACACCCTGAAACTTGAAATTGCCCTGACACTTGTCGTTCCTGAAAGCAGCTCCTGAATCCTGCTACGCTCGAGATAATTCTATACGATGAGCTTGGAAAACGTCCAAACGCTCAGCTCCTCGATACGTCGAATGCCTGGGAAGATCGCTGATGCCATACATATTTGATCATGTCAGCATATGGATTCTATAAAATTACCTGCCCCGGCACCCCACTAGCAAGACCGAAGGCTAATTCATCAAACCAACAAGATCTATCTAATGACTGTTGTGGGGCACAATGAAATGTCTGCACAGGCGTCAAATCAGGTCTTGAAACGACCATGGGTAATGGTCCAGAGTGAAAAACAATGAGCCTGATCACAACGATACAACATGCGATGACAAGCTCACTGAAGATTGCCCAAACGACAAAGCAACAAAAGAAAATTGCAAACAAAGGCACAGTGATGATCATTCGACGGGTAGCCCGCTTGGATCATTGAAAAGAACATGTCATGTGCCACCTATATCATGGTTTGCAAGTGTGGCACACATGTGGTGTTCACGGCACCTTGTTTTTGTTTGTGTTTCTTCGATTTTTTTTTTTGTGCAACCGTCCTGGCACACGTCCCAGTGCAAGGGCAAAACCAGGTCCAGAGCCACACACGGTAGTCCAAGACAGTCCACAGCTGTCCAAAACAAGCCAAGCTGGGACGCCAGCAGGCTAGCTGCAGCCAGGTGCGTGCTGGGGCAAGGCGCATCGGAAAGATAATCTGCGTGCAAGAGGTCGCTAGGCTCGAGTGGCTGCCCATCGACGTCTGCTGCGCCATGCAGCGAGAGCAGCGTGGATGCGAAGGCCTCAGCCGCGGCGAAGCTGAGGGCAACCGCCCATTGCACGAAATACTCATTATAAAATGACCCCTTTTTACAAGTGACAAACCCATTTCATAAGTGACGACAGCTACCCATCTTCATAAAAGAAAATGAAGGGGGATCATAAAATGACGCCAACAATCGTTGCCAAAAGGACACACAGCCTGCCTCAGGGCATCCCAGGCACAGCGCATGGATTTTAAAACATTCACATGCTGTATTTTGCAACTGTTTGAGATCCCGCTTTGATGAATACGTTTTTGGATACGTGCTATCCTCAAACTCGCTGGGGTTAGCTCCAAACCAAAAGCGACGGAAGGGTGCACGTATGTTTGATAAATGCATTTTTCGAAGGAAAGTGGCAGGGAGCTTGTCCAAAACAAATAAACAGCCATTTTGTGCTCACCACTCCCAGGGAGCGCACCAACGTGATGGTTCCACTCAGCCGCTCTTGCAAGGTGACACCTAAACAAATGTGCATTAACATGGCTGTGCCCAAACACTATGACAGCAGGCTTGGGGGGGCCCACAGTGATAGGAACGTATTTGCCCATCTATGCGCCGCACCCAATGCCTTTTGTAAATCAATGGCATTACCACTTACGATGACCAGATCATCAGCGCACCACAAAAAACACTGGATTTTGATATTAAGGTTCACAATTTGTGTTGTTCAAACTCCTTTTTGCGTCTGCCGGATTTGAATTGCAGGTCGGCTCACGGCCGCTCGACGAGCAGCTCGCCAATCAGCCCCGTCGCTGGCTTCGGCCGTGCTGCGAGCACCGCAAGGGCCATCCACCGCCTGGCCAGCGCACGGCCTGCAGCTGCCTGGGCCCACGGGGCCCGCGCTCGAGCACAAGCCCTCGCAAGCCGCCAGAGCAGCGCCAACGCTCCTGCGCTGCACCGCCCCCCTACCTACAACGAGACATGGCTGCAGTTCGGAGTAAGTACAGCGTTTACGCGCGGCCGCCTGTGCCAACGCCAATCCGGGCCTCGCTTCAGCGCCTGGCCGGGGTTGCCCGTCCCGCTAACGAGTGCCGTGTCCACTGCGACTTGCTCCCCCTGCCACAAGGGCAGGCCATTGGCGACTACCTCGAGTCCAGGTTCAGGTCTCGGAGGGCGACACCGGTGGCGACGCGCGCGCCAGCTTCATGAACTCGATTTCAAGCCACGCTTTCAGCAATCTAGGATTCGGATATTTGGTCACTTGAAGTCAATTTCTGTAAATGACCTAAAACCGATTTTAACCTCCCATTCCCCCATTCCTCCGATCATGTACGAGAATAATTTGTACAACAACCGCTGGTGTGCAACCGGACGGAAATCGCATGCAATTTTTGATTTACTTATGCCAACACTGGAAACAAAGTTCTCCGACATGTATCTGGCACGTCAATTGTGACGATAACATGACTGAATAATTCCAGCAGAGCGTGTAGCAATGCATGAGGTATTTGTTTCAAAAGTTCCACTGCCAACCCTGACGCATGGCATGATTTATTCTGCTTCAAGCTCTGGATGGCCATCTCAAGTTCCTGTATGGTGAAGGGGTCATTTTCCAAAACGGCCGGTCTGACGGGCATCATCTGCATGCCAGATAAGTTGGACAACATGCCTGCAAAATTGTCTACCGGGCATCCTGCGAAGCCGCTTCCAAATCTTGGTTCGTCTTCGAAGTTGTGCGCATCGTTGTGACCTCCATTATGTACACTTCCGTGTGTACAGTGCTGGAATTTGAAAACTCAACTGTCGTCGTTCCTCCAAGATCAACGTCGGCCTACGTCTCGTCCCATTTCGCCCAACTGCCCACCACTCACGGGAAAGGGCAGAACTGGATAATCTTTACGGCAAGCTGTTGCACATTCTGTGGCATGCGGACCCCAGCCTGTACCGCCGTTCACGTGTACAGGCGCAAGGGCAGCCATCATGGTGCAACGATGAATGCATTTCCGCCCCTCTTGCAGGAAACGTTACGTGGCGCCAACATGCGCCACCATAGACGTATGAGCATCATGGCCTGTCACCCAGCCCTTGATCTGCGTTCAGGCGCCCGGGGTTGCAAAGAACCCTGCCCCTGGCTGCGGTTGCGACGCACTTGCTGGAAGAGTTTCCGGTTGTCAGCTTTTTTCCACCCATCTGGTCTATGGAGCTTGGAAATACAATGACTACACTGTAGATGAGAAGGAAAAAGCTCGCATCATGAAAATGAGCAGTGCCAATATTGAAACTGGACTGCTGGTTGAACTGTCACATCTTACTTTTCGACATTTGATGCAAGCAAATGTTGACATACAACTTTGCAAACAACAAAGCGAAAATTTGAATTGACCTTCGGCTGATTGCCTTCCCACATACAGCTGTTTGAAACATTATTCATCTTGGCCACACGCAAAAACCCAAAACATGTGTTTTTGAGGTCATGCACAATCTGGAAGAGGCACCGGTTTGTGTAGCTTCAAGCTGGCGATGGGCAGGGCCACGGCCGTTTCGTCGTGGGCCACAATCCGCGACTCTCCCACCCGGGCATCCAAGCCAACGTTTGCGTCGAATGTTTCAGGCCACTTTCAAGGTGGTCACTCGCAAATACTCAAGTTGCTTACCTTGTTTCGGCTGCTGCATTGGCACGGTAAGCGACATGATGGTTGCGATACCTGGCATGCTCAAGCAGCCAGCCGCTTGAAGTGGAGGACAGTGGGCCCAGGAGGACGTTGGTGTCGCTCATCCAGGTGCTCACTGCCCCAACCCATTTTGTGACACACGCTGCTACGGAAGCTGTCCCGTGAAAGTACCGTATGACATGGCACGACCGTGAAGGCGTCAAACCCGCTTGTGTGGGGAGCCGTGCAACTGGGTGATCTATCATAAACCCTAAAACCCTAAACCCTAAATAGTAGTTTCCATTTTCTTTTCCATTGTCCCTATGTACCCCTATATAATCCCTGTAGAAGGCCCCACCACACACACGCGTCACCACAGTCGCCCAGAGGAAGAAAACAAGGTCAACCCGTGCATGCGTTTAAGATTTTGCTCTCCTGGAGGGTTTGCGAGACGGATCCCGAGCTTCATCACGACTGCGTGGAACTGCTGGACCAGCCCTTCCCAAAATGACTGCACAGGATGCATGGCCTCCGGGTGCCCTGGCAAGCTCACGAAGTCTCGCTTCTCCACCCAAAGGCGTTTGCCTCGGCAAACTTTTGCATCCGTCCATTTCCAACCAAATTGCCACATAAACTTGCATCAAGACAGTCTACTATGCACCACCACCAACACCATCACCACCACCAAAACCACCCAAAACACTGCTGCCGCGGATGCTGCTCGCCCTCCCCTGCCTCGACTTTCCTTTCTTCTTCTCTCCCTTTTGCCTTGGCCTGCCTCCAACATCGCCACGACTGCTACTGCAACTGCTTCCGGTGCGTCTGCTTGTACCTTACTAAAGCACATGGTTCCGTCACGATGCGAAACGGCATCCAGCGCGATGGCGCAGATGCCGAGCTCGGTCCCTCCAGCCACTGATCCTGCAGAACAAGAAACCATGAATGTATTAGTGCTAGGGTTATATTAGGGTTATATTAGGGCTATATTGGGGTTATATTGGGGTTATATTCGGGTTATATTAGGCTATATTGGGGTCATATCGGGGTTATACTAGGGTTATATTAGTGTTATATTGGGGTTGCATCGGGATAATGGAAAAGAAAATGGAAACTACTATAGGGGTTATACCAGACCGTGCCCGCCTTTGTTTTTGCAACTGATGCTGTACAGTATCCGGCTGCGGCTAGCTCAGACCCTGCATTGACAAAAAGTGCCTGAGAAACTGAAAGCAAAGACCCCCTCCGTTCAGAGCTACTGTTTACTGACAAGATTCATGAATCATGACTGGAAAGCAAGGCTGACAACTGCAACTTGCTCCTCATCGCCTCGCCAATTGACAATTTCTAGCTCCCTGTCAGCAAGAGCATTCAGGCTGACATGAATCATACAACTTGGGTATGTAGACCCATAATTAATAAACCCCCTCCTTTAGAGGGCCTTAATATCAGGATCCCTATTCAAATCCGCATAATGGGGAAGGGGGTTTATTAATCAGGGGTATAGATTGCTGGTGTCTATTCACACAAGGCATCCCAGACACCCTCAAGGATCCAAGACATGAACCCCCCCCAAACAGAATGGACCTATTATTATGTGGGGGAAACTAAGCTTAGTTTAGGATTTAGAGTTTAGGGGGTAGGGTTCAGGATTTAAGGTCTGGGTTTTAAAGGGAGGCTCCACGTCTTGTGATCCTTTAGGACCTAACAATACTAGCAAAATACCACTACCTGATCGGAGTAGCAGTCACAAGAGTAGAAAGAATAGTAGTGAGGGCAAGGAATCTGGGATTGCAGCATGTGAGCTAGAGTCTAAGAGAGTCTAAACTCCTTAAAGGGAGATATATAGGGGAGTGTATAGGGGAGTGTTATACAGGTTATTAAGGGGATACTAGGAGTTTAGAAGCGCATGTCTGACACTTCACCAAGGAGCAGAGGCTGCAACACCCCCAGCAGGCGAGGTATGCCGGCATCGCAATCCATGCTGTTTAGGGTTTAGGGTTTAGAGTTTGGGGGTTGGGGTTTAGGTTTTAGGGTTATTCTTTGGGATTGTATTGCTTGGAGAGTCAGGGGACGTAGTAAATGGGTTGATCATGGGGATACATAGAGTCACTATATGGGATATAAGGGTTATTCACCTACTCACTAAGTCTCCTAGACCCTCCAAGTAGGGTTTAGGGCTTTATATTAGGGATTGTGTGGGATTGCAATGGGAATAATGTTAGGGATTATTTGGGAGTTGCATTTGGGATTATATGCGTGTGATGTTGGGAAATTACATGGGGTAGGTACTACACAAGGATTACGTAGGGGTTATCAGGATGCTGCAGGGATTACAACGAAAATCTTGAGCTTGCTGTAGTCAAGGGTTGCTATGGGGTATCATGTGGAACATCAACAGGCTCCTGTAGTTCAAAGACTACGCACGCTGCCATCAAGGTAGAGCACAAAAAGTACCAAAAGAGTAACCAAAGAACTGAAGGTGGGATGGGCTGGCATCCTCTCTCCGATCACTTACAGCAGAGGTCCTGCAATGAAGCTTGACCCAACAAAAAAAATCCAAGCGGTGCGAAGCCCGTTCGCCGTGCCTAGCTTTCTGTGCAAACATCTGCTACTGGGGCCACACTGCACGTCATGCAGGAGTCCTACCTAACGAGAGCCACACCCATCCTGATAGGGAACACCCCCTGCCCCAATGTACTGCCCCTCTGCTTAACATGAAGGTAGTGAATCTGAGATGGTTGCAAGCGATGCCGGTGGCCCTCTGCCAAAAAGCACGCGAAAGCAAGGCGCACGGTCTCTGCTAAGACTCTTGCGTCCGCCGGCAAGGAGCGCTCTCCTCATCACAAAACTCTGCATCACCAGCTGGAATGAGGAATTTGAATGTGCACAGAGTGGTACCCTCCACTTCTAGCGACTGATCCACGACTCACCAACAACAAACACCCCCCATCCCCCGTATAACGAAATATTGTTAATCAGATGCCGTTGTATAAGGGGGGGGATGCCCATTATCGAGAAGGGGAAGGCTTTATTGGCTTCATTATTAAGAGGACGGAATGATCCTTTACACCAGCCCAAACCGTCATCATGCCATCTGCTGCCGCCTCCATCAGATACACCAGATTCCCCATCTTCTTTCGGCATCTCACCTGAAACTCACATAGCCCAAACACAACACCATGCGTGATTTCATAAAGTAGCACGGCACTGAAAGCAAGAAATCCTTGGCACGCAACGGCAACGTTCAAACATGTTCATACTGCAATGGTGCCTGTATGCAGGGAAGACAGCCGCGAAGCCCCAAGCTCAGTACGTTAGTGTTGATTCCTGGGCTTTGCTGGCTGTTCCAAGTGATGCAGGTATCTGCATCAGCTGGAGGATTTAGTCTTCAAAGCTACGTACTTTGTGAGCGCCATACCGACATCTGCACAATGCGTTCAAAGCCTTGCTCTTGTTCTATGACACTGTTTCTAACTGAACCACTGACAAGTGTGGTAGCTTTTTGTTTCATGCTCCGACTCTTGGGCCGCACATTTCGAAGAGGGGTGGTGGCATGGCAAAAAAAAAATGTGACATCAAATAGCATACTAATGATAGGAGTACTAATAAATAATAGCAGTATAGGTCATACTAAAAAGCCTCGCGTCACGTAGGATGTAAGGTAACATTAACAATAACAATCAACATCATGGCACTCTGACCAAAAAAACCTTGCACTTATTCTTCTTTTTGGAGGCTATGACCTCAAGGCGCATCCAATTTGACTCTACAACATGGAATGTACTACCCCGTGCCTAATAATTATCAATTGTGATTCGCAGTCTGGGGTTGAGGGCTTGCAATTTAACATCTGGGGTTTGGGATCCAGGGTGTTGTTTAGGAGACAACGTGAAACTTTGAACCCTTAGCTAGTGCGTTTGTTGAGAAAGCTAGCAGTTTCAGCCCAGAACCGGTACAATATTTAGGGGTTCGCGATCCATAATCCCTCACCTCCATGTGGCGGGCCTGTGCCCCCCTAACCCCCTGCTATTTACAAGACAAGCCGCTGAAGTGCCCAAAAACTGTTTTTGCTCAATGCCTGCTGGCCCCGGCACAAAGACCAGACACAAAATAAATTGCACAAAGACAAATTCCGCCCTCGCAAGCACTACACTTTGAACTTGTAACCTGACACCAAATCTTTGCCAGATATTCCCAGCGAGAACCCAAACATTCAGGGAATTATGTAATGTGTTCCCCCGCCTCCCCAAGATAACTCACTGATTGCCCCTGTGTTGCTGTGTAAAAGTACGAGCTCCTGTGTTTAGTTCGTCTCACACAACTAGTTACTACTCGCCGTGGGGGGTGTTCAGCTCTACATTTCCACCTTCTCATGGGCGTTGTATAGTTGGTAGTCAATTCTTAGCCGGTGTGTGTGGTTGAATGTTATTTGGGTCAAGGCCTCCCCCTTTAGCTGAAGTAGCAGTGGGATGAACCTTAGCTGCCTGCCATTTACATTTGACCCACACGTCAGACCAATCTGAGCTTTGACGACCAGTCGTGAGAAAAGTGCGCTTGGAAGCAAGGGTACCGTGCTGGTGGTTTTCAACCCCATTATCGGCCAGTCGCCCTTTTACATACATTGAGCTGCTTTCGGAAGTTATGAAGTTTGCGAATTTCAGCGTTTGCGGGCTTTGGAGGATTACGCATCGTCCAATAATTACAGCGTTTGCGGCCATTGCAAAGCAACGAATATTGCAGATTACCGCGTGTGGAATGTTTTGAAAATTTGCGAGGATTGTAAACTAGAGCATTGGTGGCGTTTGAAAAGTTACGAGCACGCAAATTACAACATTTGGGGATGTGGTAAGGCTGCAAACATGGTAAATGAAAGCCCATGCAATGTTTAAGAAGTTGCAAGCACATGACAGCAGTTGGAAACTTTAAGAACCAACAAAACATGCAAATTCCCATATCTTGTAATGCAAACAAATTGGTAAGAAATTCCCTCAAGAGCGTGCAAGAACCTACACGTTTTTATTTTCGACCATGTTTTGCGAATGGGGGGTGCACATTACAACATTACAGTTGAACCTTTCCCTCAACATTCATTAAGATTGCATCAATCCTGCGGTGTCCAAACACGCCAGGATATCTCAGGATATCAGATTTCCGAAAGTCAAAATTCCTAAATCTTCACATCCTCAATCACGAATATATTTATTCAATATCAGTAAATAGTTCATCAAATATGTTTTATATCTAGTCTGAAGTCACTCAAGCAGGCGAGACGTGTCGGCACTTTTTTCCAAGCAGAGGGCCATTGGC